TGAAGAAAGACCACTCTGCGAATATGCTTTCCAGACGATCACATCCCAAATAAGACAGAAGAACAGTTGATTTTCATTTACTGTTCTTGGTAAATATTGCACATCTGTAACTGCTAATGTGCCGATCATTTAACTTCCTTCCCCAACGAGAATTAACTGACCTTCTCAGAAGCATCAGGCCACAGGCACTGAGAGTCACAAAAGTATCAATTGTCTCAAATGGTCCTCCGGGGAGAAGATGCCTCCGATGTGCAGGCATCCACATTAGCACTTATCCATAGTCTTTGTCCTGATGCTTCACCTGTTTCTCTTTTTCTCAAGTGGTTAGAATGATCGACAAAGCTGCTGTTTTATTAATGTATCTGTCCATAGCCCTTGTGCTACACAAAACAAGCACAGAATGGACGTGTGCCCACCGTGTTCTGAGATTATTATCTAGACTGTACAGGAATATCACAACCCTAGGCCATGACTCCTAGCAATCTCTCAAGCTGGTGTCCATGCTGCCAATTATGTCACTGCATCAGCCAAGAACCATCCAGAAAGCTTAAAATCTCATAAGAGAATTATGCTATGTTAATGTCTAGTTAGGCTGAAAATATTCTCTTGTTTATATAACAGTTGACACTGCATGCTTAATTGCTGTTTACATCTTCAAGAAACTGAAGAGGCTCTACCTCCTCGACAATAAGACACTGTTTAAACTATATTACAATCGTTATCAAAGATTCATCAAATTTCTTATTCTACTTTTAACCCAAGGATATGTCTAAGATTTGGTCAAAGTCTTAAAAGCCGTTATTACAATATAGCATATACAGGTGAGCTCCTTTAGTTTTGCTTACGTTCTTCTATATTTAATAAAAAATGTTCATGGCTATGCCTGGACCCGTACTAGAATAAAAGTCCAAAAGTGGCAGAGCATATGCCACAGTGCTTACAGTAATCATCTGAGAGAACTGTGGTCCCACATTTCCAACAAATAAGAATGATTACATAACAAGCTAAGAAAATACTGTCTTGAAAAATGTAATTGAGTGCCCATGAATATGTATGGCTAGTAAGATGATAAAAGTGGCTTATTTGACTGTACCTTTATGAGTCCAAAATAAGTAACAAGTTTAGCCTTCAATCCAAGACCAATCCTTACTTTCTCTGGGTAGTGGAGGTAATATGTTGGGCCTACATTCTCCCTCTTGGGTAAAATGACAAAAAGTGTTGCTCTGATACAGCAATCACTATGTGCCTGGTACTTGACATATAAAAACTCACTTGGTCATCCTTATAAGGCTTGAGGTAATTACTATTATTACACACATTTTTAGAGATAGCAGAGCTTCAGAGAATTTAAATAACTGCTCAGTTACTCAGTTGATAAATGGTGGAACCATAAATTAAACCCATACAGAAGCCTGGCCCTAGGATGTGTGTTCTTGCAAGCACAAAGAATGGTTTTTATTAATTGCTCTTGCTGCTGCACTACAGTTAGCCAGAGAAAATGCACCATGGACTGTTTTCAGTGTACAAGTCTAAATTTTACATTTAAGGCGAAGACTCTCTTACTCATCAACGAGTTATATTTAAACAGTGCTTATCCTTATGCAATAATTATATTGTTTCAGGACTGTTAGGAGTGGAGTACAAATGAAAGATCCATCATCATCTCCATGGATGTATATGTAATTACCATGCCTATAAGGCATCCAACAATGTTAATCAGGGTCCCCCAGAGTGTATAGGATCACTAATAGTAAACCTGGGGAAGGAATTCATGTTAGTTTAACCACAAGAAGGACAGACAGTAGTATGTATTAATCATCTCTGAAGATGCTGGATATTGTATTATATGTTTATGCATGCTGTTGTTGCATTTTGTTGTTAGAATAACTCTCTGAATTTGTATTATTCTCAGTTTAAAGATAAGGCCCCACAATGAAATACTACTATACACTTACTGGAAAGGCCAGAATCGAACACACAGAATCCACTGCAGGCAGAGATATGGAACATAGAAATCTTGTTCATTGCTGGTGGAATGCACAACTAACTTTGGATGACAGTTAAACATATTCTAAGCACACTGTTCAACACATGCTCCTTGTTATTTATTGAAATGAACTGAAATGTAACTTGACACTAAAACCTACACACGGCTGTTTATTCACACTTGCTAAAACCTGGAAACAACTAAAATGCTCTTTAGCAAGTGAACGGATGAGTAAGCAGTTGTATATGTAGACAATAGGATATTAGTCAGCCCTAGACAGGCATGAGCTATCAAGCCATGCAAAGATATGGAAGAAGCTTAATTGCTTATGACTTGGGTTGAAATGTAAGTTAGTGTGAAAATCTACATAATGTATGGTTCCAACAGGAAAATTTAGGTAAAATAGATCAGTGTATACGGCTGGGAAGGGAGGGATAAATGAGTAGAGCACAAAGGACTTGAGGGGCAGTCAAGTTATTCTGCATGGAATTATAATGACAAAGACCCACCATTATACATCTGTCCACACTTACGCAATATACAACATTGAGACTGGACCCCAGTGAGTATAGTACCCTGGATGACAATGATGTCTTAATGTAAGAACATCAGTGGAGCTAAAGTCCTCTTTGGCTGGAGGATGCTGATTATATGGTTGGGGTGCAAGGTAAATCTCTACTTTCTGCTTAATTTCTCCATTATCTCTAAAAGATGAATGGTCTCTTTCCAAAAGCAACCTCCAAAAGTACCTCACTCTTGTAAAGAAGAAAGGGAGGGAGAGAGGAGGAAGGGATGGAGGAAGAGAGGGAGGGACAAAGGGAAAGACTCCATTGAGTCAGAATTCATCAAGTCAGAAACCTTCTACAAAACCTGACTTTAGCCATCACCAAACAATTCAGTTTCCCAAGGATGTCAAGATATCTCCATTTTCCTTCAGTATGTAGATGAACTAGAATATTGTCATCTAGAATTTTTTGAATTCTGATATCTTTTTAAACTGCAGGAATTCAAGTGGCTGATTAGTTTTGCAGCCAGGAAGGCAAAATTACCAACTCAAAAATCAATAAGTAAAACCTACTATGGCTATGTTTTCATTATTGGAGCAATTGCTCTGCACTTGGGAAAATCCTCTTTGATGAGCCTTTTCTCTGGAGAGAACAGGTCGCTGTGTTAAGCTGAATGGGCAACAACTCCCTGTATATTAGAACAAGGAGAGTTTGGCATCTGTTTTGGGGAGCATCAGAATCAGGGATTTGAATTGTGAATGTAAGAAGAAAAAGATCAGTGAGAAATTCCCTTAAAAAGACAGTCGCTCTGGGAACATAGTGCCAGAATCAGAATTAGGAGAAAATTGGATGTCAGAGGGGGTAAGCTAATAATGAGAAAGAGGGAAGAGGGAAGGAAGAGCATGCACTATAATGGACCTGCTTGTGATGGGGAAGGCAAGAATCTAGGAACACTCACTTAGTAAACAATTTTTAGTGGATGCTCATCTGGGTATGAATTACCTCTAGGTATACCACCATCACCACTGACGATTACACTGTATGGGTGCACATTAAGTAACACATATGTGAGGTGGAATGGGGATAAAGATGGGACCTGGAAAAGAGAAGGAGGCAGGTACATCATTCAAAGCAGGCAGGAGCCAGCAGAGCCCAGGCAGAAGATACCAGAAGAAGAAGACAGAGAAGGAGGCAACAGAACACAAGTAGAATATATGACAGGAGGGGTCTACACTGGTGTCTCCAATCCATGCCACTTCCTGCAAGAGACCTACCTGATTAATAGAGCGATACATGCCAATATTCATGTATCATGGACTTTTAAATAGCACTCGTCACTGATCATTTATTTCATGACTTTCTCATCATACAGTCTAGTAGTTCTCAAGTGACAATGATTTTGCATACTGGGGTACATTTGACAAATTCTGGTGACATTTTAGATGTCCTAAGTAACTAAGGGTGTTCTACTCAAAATAGGGTGGTAAACATCAGAAATTCTACTTCCTAGTATGCACCAAGCAACCTCTTCCAGAGCAAGAATTATATACCACCAAATATCACTAGTTCAAAGACTGAGAAATACAACAGAAGAAAATTCATAAAGGTAAGAGATGCTGACTTGTGTTGTGTGCGTCTACAACACTTGTAGTAGGACACAACACATAGTAGGTACTCAGTAACTAAATCAAAATGTTATATATTAAGTCTTTTTTTCCAGCTTGAAGTAAGAACAAACATATGCTTCAGCTATATGTCTTTCTTCCAGTTTGCATCAGAGAAATGGGAAACATGAAAAGATCCCTCTCCTATGCATCCTGACCAGGAGGCCTGCCTCAATATGGTTTCCTGCCACTTAATCTACACACCTGTGAGTGTGGGATTGAGAAAAACAGAAACGTTGCAGAAGCTATACCAACTATTTGGTTTGGGCCCTTCCCATTTTTAATGTAAGTGATTATTATGTGCCTAGAGTCCGAATAATGAGCTTTACTGAGTCTGCAAACCCAAGATGTCCCAAATCCCTATAACCAAGAACATCCAGACACCAGCCTATGCTCTACCTTTTCTCACTGACTACTTTTCCAGGAATGCTGTCTCTGTTTTGTGCTATAGAGTGTTTTAAATGACATCAGCAGCAATGTAGCACAATTCAGCACATCTTTCCAGCATCCCAGAAAACCATAATTCACATTTCAGAATGTAAAGGAAAAACAAGACCCAAAGTAATGATCTGGAAGGGAAAATGCAAATTCAATGATAGAACCGTTATTTTCAAATGTCACAGGCATGCTCCTGCATACAATATTATAAGAAAAGGCAACTGGAATCTTCATTTTTCATATGCATTCTTACTTGAGAAAGCCACATGATAGTTAATGGAGAATGCTTTTAGGTTAACCATTACCAGATTCAACCATGGCAATTATGATGATGCCATTCTAGAACATTACTAGTCCTTATAACTGACCAAGTCCAAGACTTCATCTGATGCCCGTCTGTGTTACCTGGTTTTCTTGTTGGTCCCACAGACATAACTGTAAAACCTGAGCCAGTTCTTGCCGCTGTTGCTGCAAGTACTTGTCCAACTGCCTTCTCCTGTCTTGTAGAAGTTCAAGGAGGCTGTCGATCTTCAAACAGCTACTTTGAGCGCCTTGAATCAGCTCAGAATTCACATTAGATCCATCACACTTGAATTTTTCTATGAAGTCAGTGAGTTGTTGACTTTTGTTTAAAAGGACTAGAGATCTTTCTAAGAGTTCTAGAAGAAAATTAAAAAGAAAATATGTAGCAATGAGCATTTATGTACTTGTATTTACATTCTTTTTATAATTTATATGTATAACATATTAATGATAAGCTACATTAAAAAGAATTTAAACGTATAAACATTTTAAATGTTTCTCAATTTCTATTTTTTAATCCCATGTAATCAAACACATGTGTCTGTCAAATTGATCACCAGTTGACATCCTCTGTAGTGATTGTATTGTATATTATAGAGTGGGGATTCAAATCCTAAGAACTCAAGAACCACCAGGGGGAAAAAGTATTGAAAGGTCGGAGTTGAGAGCAATGGTTTGAATTTCAATAATTCAGCATCAATTGGAGAAACAGTCAAGGGTATGCCCACTCTCCAAAAGACAGGAATAGAACCAGGAATCACCTGTGGTACACCCCTCCCCTTTATCTCACCTTCAGTGACTTGCTTATTTTACAATCCCCTCCCACTACTGGCAACTGTCTACTTCTCTCCATCCCATGATGCAAGTGTCACTTGGTGCCTGGACTTGTGCAGCCCTCTCTTGACAGCATCCTCTCTAACCCACTCACCCATCTTCACATTTACCAATTGAGACCTTTGTAAACATACCTGTGGTATGTGCTACTTACCCCAAATTGAAACATTCCTTTCTAAAGGGAGGAAGAGGGCTCCTAAGACTCAGGAAACTAAATTACTTATGAGGTCCAGGAAGCTCACTAAACTTACAAGACCCAAGAACTCTAAAGTTGTTAAGATCCGCAGTCTCCTCCCTACCTAGAATTATATGAGCCACAGACAATTGTGGAATGAGTCTTCTCAAGACATCTTCCTGCAAACTGCAGAAAGCTCTGGGAAAGCAGATTTTATGAGTTTTCACCCATGCTTGGGTGGGCTCTTAAGAGATACTGCTGCTTTTGAGCCATCCATGCTCCTATAAGTAACCCCAGTAGACTTGCTGTTTCAACAATCTAAATATTTTCTTTAGTCTATCATCAGTGCCCTGTCTAAGATGAACAGGAATTTGTCCAGGACTCCCAGGAGACATATCCAGTACTTTGTCTCTCCTTCTCCGTCTTCCTCTACAGTTTCTACCCCCCTCCATTTCCCTTTTCCTTACTGTGTATCACCCTCCCACTTTTCCTCTCTCAACAATGGCTTTCTTGCCTTAAGATGAAGGCTTAGATTCTCTAAAGTAGATTATCACATCAGGCATGACCTAATTTCCATCTTCCTTTTCGAAAATTCTCAACCTTACCTCTGTAAATTCTTCATACACCTATACTTTCTCCTGCATCCCTATTCTGTCTCATTTCCTCTGTCAAGAATGCATTCACTTCAATTCCCTTTATCTCTACCTCTAACTCACATTTCAGCTGTCAGTTCCCTACAGGATTAACTGAACTAACATGTCAATTAAGCATTTTCATAGTACAACATTACTCGCATTCATAACTCTTATCTTGGCTATAATATTACAGCTTTGTGTGCTTATTTGGTTAATAACTGCCCTTGCTACTAACCCTAGTGCAATATAATGACATGATCCTTGCTTCATTACCAGGAGCTGTTTCAGAAACACTGTTCTATGTCGTTGAATTCAAAAGAAAAGATTGGAAAGTAATCAGGAAACTGTTTTCAGGAAAAAGACTAACAAGCCAAGGTTAGTGCAAAAGGAGAGAAGACAGTTAAGGTTATGTTAATCTTCAGCTATCTAAGGCATTATACTCTGGTGGAAAATTCTGGAAGGCAGAAACCTCAACCAGTTACACTGTTCTTACCTAAGCCATGAAACACAGTGGTCACACAGATGAAGCTAAAGAAGCAAAGCAACAATTGGGGATAAGTTTCATAATAGCGTCTAGGTAGATTTTGTCACCATGACATTCATTTTTGTACCACTCAACTGCTCAACAACTCAGAAATTTATTAGAACTGCTAACTCATATTTTATTCCCTTAATTTAGTGATGATGATAGATACAAAGCCCTTGACTAGCAATCAGAAATTTCATCCATTAATATGCACTTCAAATCACATCATCTTAACCACATCCCACTAATCGGCTGATTAGTATAACTCCCATTTTATAAAAACAAAGCTCTTGAAGCTACCATTGGGCATTACTCATTAGGATCCAGTTTTTCTGATCACTGCCCCCTACAATCCTTCAAGTATCACACAGAGAGGCTTAAAAATATCCCAAGATTCATGCCACCAAAGACAAAGTATGCTTCCTGTATTCAGCTAGCATTTTATCTATCTTGACAACCCAAGAGGAGGCTCAGTAGACTCTCAAAGATTATAACTGAAAAGTAAGGCATGGCTCTGTTGTCAGCTGTATTCCAGGACAGAATAGCCTCAGGCTTCCTTATAAAAGCAGTGTGCATCTGTGGCTCATTGTGCCACAGATCTTGTTAAATTTGAAGAAGCCAGCAGAAGCAGAAGGAGGAATATTGAACACTGTCTCCTCTTCCAGCTCCAAATATTCATGGGGCAGTCCCAACTTCCACAGGGTAAAACTCCATGAGTGAAGTTGCTGTGTGATGATCACATTGGCTGGGTGAGATTGAGTTGAGATCATAGAACCCACCAAGGCCACAGAACTCTCTTGCAGCCCCATACCAGGAATGTTAAGTGATTCAGCTCAGTCCCAGGGGACCCAGCTAGATAACTGTTGCCATGTCAAAACAGCCAGCAGATGCTTTAATGCTGAGTCTACTATTACAGTGACAGGTGTGACCAATAAGTCATCAGGGAAAATATATCTATACATTTGGTAGGCTGCCATAAAAACTAACACTGGAAAGACTGCTATTAATCACTTCGTTTTGGGAAACTTGTAGCAAGCAATTAATAATAAAGAACTGTTTTACAGAGATTTTAGAGAGCAATATAAAGTGTGTGTGTGTGTGTGTGTGTGTGTGTGTCTTTAAAAGGGCACTTTCCTGCTTTATACCTGTTCTACTTTTCTAGCATGGTCAAACTTTTGGGGGATCAAAGTCAATTTAAAAGTGACAAAGGCTACATAGAGTCTTTGTAAAAACCAAAATAAAACAAAATATCAAAATTTGTGACAAAGCCATTTTACTCAGACCAAGTTAAGATTAAACAATATATTACAAAGAAAAGAAGGAACCTTCCCCCACCCACTTATTGGCATTATTTTCACAGATGACACCTTCCATATACCAGTTGGGCCAGTCCCAGATTCTTGTGGTGAAGACCTGGCATATAAACTATGCTTTAATAATTCAATCATTGCTACTAGGTACTCTGAGAGTATTGGAAATATTCTGCATAATATTTTACTGGACTTTTATCTAGAAAAATGTTCTCATTCTTTTTCACTGTAATGATGAAAGCGTATTCCTTACTCCTGTTTGATATTTAAAGGTTGGTTTATCTACCCTTAGATGGAACACTGAATTCAACCAGTGAGTGTAGCTTAAGGGTCTGTAGTACTGCACACCTTGTGAGATACTGGATGCTGGGGATGGAAGGGTGAGCAGGAGAGAAGCAGCCTCTGTCCTCATGGATGAAGATCTATAACACCTACAGCTAACTTCCCACAGGTTCTCCACCTTCCCCTAGCATATTTGCAAATAGTGCTTCCTTCAAGAAGATGGCCAAAAGCAAAGCTTTGTTTATCTTTTTTTTTAAACAAACTAAAATATAACAGCAGAAAATCTCCAAATACTGCCATTCATAAGAATCAATAAGCATTTCTTGCCTTTGGTATGGCGGTCATGAAGCTGAAGAAGTGACTGTAAGGCCTCCGCGCTCTCAAATTCATGAGGATTCTGCAGAAAGGCTTCAGCTTGGTCTATTTTTATAGCGAACTACAAAAAATATAGGGAAAGACATGAAATGATAAAAACACTTCGTTATATCTATAGTTTTTCTCATGCATAAATGACCTAGCTGACTCAATTTAAGAGTTGGGAACATGCACGTTGGCATGTTCTAATCTAGGATGGTAATCATGTATTCACATGCACTAACATTATAAAAATGCCATGGTTTCTCCTCCATTTTTTTATTTTGTAACTAAAAAACATTACATTATGTTTGCTAAACTAAACCATCTTGTTTATGTTGAAATATCTAGTAAGTTTTCAGCTAAAATTATTTTATATAGATTATATCTTCCCTACAGCCTTAAACTCAGTAACTATCAATACTCTAGTTGCTCCGAGAACAGCCAGAAAAGTTGCTGACAAACATCAACAAAAGGTTGGATAAATAATAATCTGTAAAATCCCAAGTAAATTTAACTTAGAGAAAATCTAATTAAATATAGTGATATTTTCCTGTGTGTTTAAACTTAGACATAGTATATTGAAGTTTCTGAATAACAGCATAATAATGCCAGCGAAGAAAACATGCTCAGGCGTACATGTGCACGCACATACATACACACTCATGTAAAGGGGAAAGAAATGGGTTCTAAAACTAAATATACCAATTTTGTTAATCTTGTAAGACGTAATGTGATTGGGGATGAGAGAGAAGAGGCAAGCTTTAGCTTTTGAAACTTCAACTGGCAACTTTAATTGAAGTTGTGTCAATAGCATTTGTGTCTCATTTGTATAAATAAAATTCTAAAGCAGAAATGAAAACTGGAACATTTCTCCTTTTCAAAGGAGGATGTGTAACAATATAGCACACCAATGATGACCAATATGATCAATTTTATTTTTAAAATGTTTCCTTAAAGTAGATTTGAGATGAAAAGTTATTTGAAGTCAGAATAAAATCCCCAGTGGGGGCAAAGCATAGTAAAATATTCTATTACAGTGTCCTTATAGTAGCAGATAGCTGATATGTTTTTACATCAAGGTTCAGTGGGGGTTATCATAGTTTATAAACAGCCCAGTAAAATGTTCACCTTTTGGTTTGGTTTAGAATAAAACAATAAAGGCAAAGTATCCATGAGAAAGACAAAGAAGCCTCCGACTACACTTGACTTCCTGTTTCGCTTTTCTAAAACAAAAATCATCTTTGAATTTGGTGATTGCTAATACTTTATGAAATCCATTGACTAAGAGGGTGTATTATAATTTGATTACTGCGACAGCTGCAGAAAATGCAGTTCTAAGTGGTATGGAATGATAAAAAAGGGCTGGTGAGCATGCCCCCTTTGGCCCCCTTTGAGAAGCACAGGAGGCCTCTGCCATCTTGTAGGACAAGCTAATGGCCACTGTCATTCAGCTGTATTGTTCCCAAATTGCAGCAGTGTCTGAGAAGACCTTCACATGGCAGTGAAGCCTGGGAGTCAGATGCTATCCTTTAATAACCACCACCAAGCCCATCATAACTTCTCTTAGAACCCCAAAGAAGTCTGGCATGGCTAGTCATAGGGGATTACATGCACAAAAGTGTTTGCATCTCTCCTTCATCAGGTTCTAATAACTGATTTTTAAAGATATTATTCCAAGAGACTCTTCAAGAGAAAAAGCCCATAAGTTATTTGTTGTTCTCCAATAGACCATTACAAAAGTTTACAGCCATAGCATAGTTACTATCTCTATTTCAGATTCTTACACACAAAATTGTTTCAACTGTAAACAAGAAGCTTTAAAAATTCCTTGATTTATTAACTCTTACCTTGTAGATTTTTTCCCCATCTAAAACTTACATCTTTCTGAAGTTTGTACAGAGTAGAAATGGCAATGTGAATTTAAACAGAGTTAAAATTAATTTCATCTTTTTTTTGCATTGCTGAAAACTGATTTGCCAAAGAGAATCAGCCTGCAGATTCTGTAGGACTCTGTTTCTGCTCAGTGTGAGCAGTTCATGGAATGGGAAGCAGGATAATACAGACATATTTGGTCATCTCCCTAGATCCAATAAAAGCTCACTCAACTGTATGGATAAGAGTGCCTCGTTGATCTGGTTTGGCTTAGTATTTCTTTCTACTCCTTGCAATATCTGGAAGCAATTTCCACATCACAGAGAAAATTAACTAGCATTAACACTAAAACCCACTGAGAAACAAATATTGAGCCTAATGTCGGGAAAAGATAATTTGCTGTGCTCAGGAGCGCTGAGTTTTAAAGACAGTGACACTTATAACCCTTCTACTAAGATGTGATGAATCAGCTAGGGATATAATTCGGCTTCTGTGAGTGTATTTCAGCTGTCTTATTTCTTCTTTCAAGAAAGGAGATCATATAAGGAATGCCCCACACCCAAGACAGTCTATAAAATGAGCAGAGCTTTGGTGTCAAGCTGTAGTGTGTGAACCTTGAAAGCTACGGTGAGGGTTTTGTTCCTCTTCTAGAGTTCATGGCCCATGAGATTGTCCCCCTCAAGTTTTATGTTCTGTTACTAATCTTCTTGCTTTCATTATTATGGATTTAACTCCTGAATTTCCCTTCTAAGAATGTCATGGTTTTCAATGCTAGTGATTTATCATGATGAAGTAGCATTTATCATCAGCAAGACCATGCTGCCACTGGAGTTAAAATGTGAAATTTCCAATAAATGTCTTACACAAAATGCACATCTTTTGGGAAAAAATTGGGGGTCTCACATTTTGAAATCAAAAACTTCCAAAAAGAAAAAAAGGAAAAATAAAAATAAATAAATAAATAAATAAATAAAATAAAAATAAATAAATAAAAAGTAAACTAAAGAAAAATTACAGAAGGAATGCAATGGTCATTCATCTGTGTCAGAACACAGTCCTAGAATAGAGTTGTGTGAGAGTTCGGAGTACTTGTGAAAAAACTCCAAGAAAACAGGATGTAAATATGGGAACCTCAGTTTCTTCTGAATGCAGAATTGTTCCTGGAGTGTGTTTTCTGCTACTCCCAGGTGTAGTGGAGAGGATGGAGTTTACTTCAGCTGTCATCCATATGGCTCAATGGAAAACATGTGTAGCTTGTCCTTGTGATTATACACTTTATTCAGTGACCCTCAGAGTATAAACTGATGCTCTGAGTAAAGTTGACTATTGTGTGAGACCTTAGTCTACCTCATTTTAGGCCCTAATGTCCCAGGTTCATGCTGCCAATTAGAGCAGTAAACAATTTGAAGTTCAGGGCCTTTTTCTTTCTTTACTTGCATTTTAATAGGTTTAAACTATAGAAATTCACCTACATTACTTAAGAAAATACTACATAAAATGTCATGTTTCTGAGTCAAACATTCTATGAAATGTTTTGTAATTGATTTTTCAAGTGAGCAGTAGAAATTTTTTTATTTGAATTAGAAACAAGATTGTCTGCATGTCAATTCCAATTCCCTCTCCCTCCCCTCCTGCCCTAACGCCCCCAACTAACACCCTACCTATTCCATACCCTTTATGCTCCCCAGGGAGGGTGAGGCCCTCCATAGGGGGTCTTCCAAGTCTGTCACATCCTTTAGGATAGGACCTAGGTCCATTCTGTGTGTCTAGGCTCAGAGAGATTCCTCCATGTGGGATGGGCTCCCAAAGTGAGCAGAAGAAATTTTATCCTCTACTTTTAGTCAATACAATCCTTTTCAGCATTCCCTACTAACTATACATAAGAGTCATAAGATTCTATGACTATATTACTATCTTCTAAATAGAAAACTGTATCAAAGTGACATGAGTAAGAGTTTCACTTTTTCACTTAACTATCTATATTTATATGACCAATGATCTATATTTAAAATATTAATTTTATTTTTTCAAAATAATACTAAATGCATTACATATATCTTGTTCATTCTGCCATTTTGAACATGCACACAACATGTGTTTTAGGAAGTCAAACATTTTAGAGTGTGCTAGTTATTTGCATTGATTTGGAGAAGCAAACGTTTTTTTGAAACACCAACCTCCAAAGCACTTTCAAAAAACTCAGATGTCAGCCCAAGGAGCTCCCTTCTCTTTTCAAGCATGGAGACCAGGGTTGCCCACGCTTCACCCAGAGTCTGGGCCATGGCATCGTACACCTGACCTTGAGCCTTGTTAGCTTCCGCTGTCCTGTCTGCTTCCTGTAAGAGTTCCCACACACGATCTTCCAAGGCCTAAGTCCAGGAGAACAAAAAAAGGTACAGTCATTGTGTCATCTGGTGTGAAAACAAAGCACCCCATTTTAAACACAAAGATGCCTGAAACTATGTGATCCAAGAAGTCTAGAAGATAATTTATAACTCATAAACACAAATCATATTTGATGTAGAGGTTCATTATTCCCTCCAGCTTCCAGGTGAAAGTTTCTGGTCTTATACCTACAAACATGCTCTATAGATTTTTTTTCCCTGATTTTTAAATTCTTCTGAAAATCTTCACCAAAACATCCAGCAACTTCCTCAAACTCAAAAAGTCTGAATCTCCCAAAACCATCTTTACCTGGTCTACTGCTCACCTGACTACCTGGAACAGCTTCATAAAGATATCCTTCATTCCCCCTCCTCCATCCTAACTCCCTTCAATTCGAAGATCTAGTCAGTCACATAGCCCACTGCTCAAAACCTCTTCTCTCTGCTTCCACCTCTCATCTTGGCTTCCTTGCTTGTTTGTAGTCATGCTCCTGCTCCAGGCTCTTCACTACCTAAGCCCTTCTGTGTGGTAAGGTAATAAATACCATGTAGATCTTTCTAACTCAAAAGTAAGATCCTGCCACCCAGCAACTTGTAAAACTTTCTGACTGATTTGCAGATAAAATTCAGTCTGAGCACAACAAATCAGGTCTCAGTACATGATTTTACTTCTAGTCTTTGCACTTGCTCTTCTGTACAGATAATCATCCATGACTCAACCTAGAATTCTCTCCTTTCTAATCACATGCCTCTCCTTGTTCCTCCCATGGCTCACTTGTCTGAACAGTTTTCCCCATTGGTCAAGACATTGGCATTGTGGGTCTTCCCTGACCCTCAACTGTCTCTCCTGAATGAATTTAGGGCCTTAACCTTTTAAGACTATTTTCAAGTATATAGCCATTATAAGTTTCTTCTTGCCTGGATAGATAGCTCAGCCTCACAATCAAAAAATACTGTTTCTTCTGATTATAAAAGTAACATACAGATATTCCTCAACTTATGACAGTGTTATACTACTGCCCAGAATCTGAGAAGACTACTACATGCTGCTAAGTGGACCCAGTGGGTTATAATAAAGAACAAAGACACAAAGGTGGAAGAGGGAAGGGTTGGATGAGAGAACTGGAGGTAGATATGGCAAAAATACATTGAATTTGTGAATGAAAGTACCAAGAATGATTTTTAAAAGAAAACATTTTAAGATATATTTCAATATTTTAAAAAATATGCATAGCTGAAGTTCAATGTCCATAAAGTTCTACTGGAATTCAGCCATGCTCATTTCTGTATCTATGGCTGTTTTCACATCACAAAAGCAGAGCTTAGATAATTGTAATTCATGGAGTAATACCATCTACAAAGCCTAAAGTATCCACCACAAGACTCTTAAACAGAATAAAACATATAATGTTACTCTCTGACCTTTAACAGAAAACAGTAGGAAAATATTTTTTAGTTGGAAATACACATCATATGCAATGCCATGATTTATTTGTTATTCTCATATTATTAGACTCCAAATCTGTTTTCCATATTTAGCTACTGCTAATAGTGTTGGGTTAATATAATCTTCACTCTTTCTAACCTCTAATTCCTTGTCTATAACCTTGTGGCTTGCTCTTGTTTCTTCAAAAGCTAAGTTCTTAATAGTGGGTAGATTTAGTGGCCACCAACATTTCAAGTCTCTTGATATAGGTACTAAGCTGTTCCCTAGAAGACTTGTACCAATTGATGATAATATATTTCAATTTGCTCTTGACTCACCTGCAGTGTCTACTAACTCCCAGGACAGGGACTTTTTGTGCTATACAATTCCCATCATGTGCCCCGGTATGGGAGTCACAGCAAGCAAGTGAAGATCAAGCTGAGCTGTGGGAGGGGCTGTTTGTGCAGCCTATCTCCATACTGCAGAGCAATGGTTTTTAATTTAGAGAACTCAGGACTCTCAGTATGAGAAACCACCTTCTAACACATCAAGATTTGCTGTCCCATTGCTCCATTGTGAAACTGAAGCACAAATCCATGTGGGAGCATTGAAACGCATCAGCTTATAGTATTTTAGGAAAAGCATCAAAAAGTCTCTCTGAGACTACATTTATGGATTCCCAGGGATCTAGGAAGCATAGTTTGAGAACAATGCAGTAGAAGTATAAGGAAAGAAGTGGGCTGGGATATCGACAGCATTAACAGGCATTATATTAGGTGATAATGATATTTGGTGATCAGGGTCCATCACAAGAAACCACTCTGCTCTCCAGGTTTGTGGTCCTGGTGGGAGGTAAGAGGATGGTGGCTACGTAGAGCTGAACTGAAGAAGTTCAACTTTCTGATAAGGAAATCAGAAAGCCTCTCAGGAAATGGGAGAGACTATCTGGAAACACAAGACCTAGGAAGATACAGTGTGGTTTAGAATTGGATGCAAGAATACTAAGAAAGTTGGAGGAAAGGATGGAGTTAAGCTACCAGGAAGCACCACAGACACATCACAAAAATACATCTCATAACCACAAAGGGTAATGATATACTTCCCGAGGGAATTACAACAGTTAGGAAGTCTATTGCAAATAAATGGTGAGATAATTTGATTGGTATATTGTTCAGTTTGGAAAACAGCATACAGACAACTTTCCTTAACGTGTAATACTATAGGAATGTTCCCTGATATTTCCACCTTTCTATCTTAATATTCATTAACAAAATTACTAATTTCTTATGCTGTGGAGACAAAATCCCACATGAAAAAAATTTTGAGGGAATTCTATTTTTTCATGCATAAAGATAGTCTCTTATGAACAACAACAAAACACACACACAGACACACACTCACACACACACACACAAATGCACACGCACACGCACATGCACACGCACACGCACACACACACACTTAGTTATTTCTCCAGAGATGGAAACCATTTTTTCTTTGGTTACAATGCAAAGCAACAATATAGCAAGCCTCCTTTTTGGCAAGTGCTCTATAAACACAATGCCTCAGAGCTAGAGTTAGGGGTTAAGAGTGTAGCTAAGTTTAACAAGACCTTAAGTTTAACTCCCAGAACCATAAACCAGCACTGAGGCCCACAAGCTGACTCTGCCACTTTGTACCCTGCACATTTTATAAACCAGTTTTTCTCAACCTGTCTCTACCTTAAACAGTAATATTGATTTTATAAACTTATAAAGATTAAATGAGTAATCTATGTGAGTACCTAGATAGCACCTGACAGACATTAACAGTTAACAAATGTCAGATGGTATCTTTAATTTTTTTATATTCATGTGTGCCTTCTCATTAATATTATTAAGTATTAATTGCTTATGAAACCACTGGATGGAGGACATACTGTAATCCTTGTAGGAATAAAGTAAATAGTATACCCATCATAGGTAACAAAGATGTACTTATGATTTGAAGAGCTGATAATAAATACCCATAAATGATTTCAGAAATGATTGAAATATTGAAAATATAAGGCAGTTTAATTTTAGCATAAACATCAACAATCTACCTTTTAAAATCATGAACTAAAATATACTTTGGGAAAAAGTTTCAAAAACATGTCTTAATACCTCATTTTTGTTCTTCAATTTTTCACTAATTCTCTAGAATAAACTCTAATTGTTTGAAATGTGTTTTACTTTTTTGGCATTTCTGAAGGGCCCACTACCCAGCTTTCAAGTCATTCACACACAAAGGCTTATTCTTAGTTATGAATGCCTGCCCTTAGCTTGGCTTGTTTCTTGCTAGCTCTTCTTTTTTTTAAATTTGCTGCTCTATTTTTTACTTTTTTATTAATTTATTCCAATCCCAGTTCCCCCTCCCTCCTCTCCTCCCGCTCCCCCCCACTTCTTCCCTCCACCTGTCATCTGTTCCTCAGATAGGGCAAGACCTCCCCTAGGAAATCTAATAAGTCTGTCCCATCATCTCTTTGAGGCAGGACCAAAGCACCTCTCCACCCCTCACACTCCTGTGTCTAGGCTGAGCAAGGTATCTTCCCGTATAGAATGGGCTCCACTAAGTCAGTTTGTGCATTAGAGTTAGATCTTGGACCCACTGCCAGCGGCCTCAGAGATCACTGACTCTGGTCTGACAAATGGGGAATCTACATAAAACCAAACTAAACTCCCTTAATGCAGGTGACAATGGTGCAGCTAGCCTTTCTTAATTTTAAACTATCCCCTCTAACTTTTGCCTCTGGGCTTTTATCTTTCTCTTCTTTAAATCTTGCTTTCATTCTTACTCCATGGTTAGCTGAATGGCTGGCCCCTGATGTTCTCCTTTCCTTGTTCTCTTGCTGCTCCTCTTTCTCTCCTTTTGGTTCTCCTTCTGTTTATGCTCTCTGCCTGCCAGCCCTGCTTATCCTTGCTCCTGCCCCACCACTGGCCAGCCATTCAGCTCTTAGTAGACCATCACGTGCTTTAGATGAGCAAAGAATCACAGCTTCACAGAGTTAAACAAATGCAGCATAAACAAAAGTCACACACCTTAAAATAATATTCTACCACAGATTATTGTATATATAAATACAAATGTATTCTCTATGATGAATGGTTATTTCATGTATGAAATTAATTCTATTGCATATTTTCATATGGACAGTAAGCATATTTATTATGCAAGATTAAAATGTACAAATGTAGCAAATGTCAAGGTGTTATGCAAAGTTTAAATCTTCACATTTGGATTTTGTGGCAAATCCAACAGCATTGTCCAATTTGTCCCATTACTTTTGGAGATCTGTGTATGAGAACAGTGTGTTACATTTGGGACATGTAGTTCACTTGGGCTGGAGACTGTAGTTTTAACTAGGGTGGCATGCACACATTCCTTTTTATTCGTGTCTAGGTCATCCCTCACCAATGATGGTGAACACAAGGAAGCAGATGCATGCTGTAATTATCAGAACTACACCACAAGTGCTGACACAAAAATCTCAATCAATTTTTGCAGTCATCTTTTGCTTGTTCTTCTCAATGCCAATAAT